GGATTGCCTGTGTCTCATTTGCATTTAAAGAGACAGGCACTCCAAAGCGAGCGCTCTGAACGGGGCTGTTTTGGGTTAGGGTTAGGGTTAGGGTTAGGCAGGGGGACTGAACTGCTATTGGGCTTCATCCTTATGGGATTCTGACCAAAGCTTGTCACAGACATTACATTAGGACACCAGGGAACTAGCTTAACTTGTTGAAATAGGCTATTTGTATAGGCTATATGTCTATATGTCTCCTTTAAGACGTCAAAGACCTTGAGAAGTTTGCCCGTGGCGGGGGGGGGGGGGTAGATAAGTCCAGCGGTGGGGATGCAGCGATTAGCTGGCGTTTATCAGGGATGGGCTCATTACTGGAGCCGACGGGCTCGAAGGGTCATTAGCCGGCTCGCCGCTGACACTAATGCACTCCCGGCTAACAGACTGGATCTGACGGGGCCGTGCGCGCGTATACGTGCGCACGCGTATACCGATCGCAGAGGCATTTAATCAGTCCCAGCCTAATTAAAAGGCCGGACTCGGATGAAAGGGAGCGCGGTGCGGAAACGGGGATGATAAAGCCTGAGAAGGAGATGTGGAAAGCAGAGCCCGGGCTGATAGCCGCGGAGCCTCTCGGTTTGACCCTCAGTTGTCCCCTTTTCCTGTTTTTTCACGTTCATCACCACTAGTGTCGCGGAGCAAACACACACTACGACACACTGGCCCAGCAGAGGAGATCCTTTACTTGTATTAAGTTCTTCTTGTCTTCGTCTGTGTTAGTCATGCTTTTTGTTTTCTTTGGGTCAGACAGACCTGAAGTCGGCCATATCAGATCACTGCAAAAGAAATAACCACATTATGGACGGGGATGGGGCACAAATCGTTGGATCCGAAACCAACAAATTCAAGCGCTGGATAAAGGAGGCAATGGAAATCAGGAAGCGAGGCACAGAAACAATCAACAGAGATGAAGGAACATTTCTCCTTTCACCCACATGGGACAGCATCCTCCAGAGACCAACGGGCGGCTGTGGGCCCACAGGAAGTAACATCTGTTAATGGCACGTAACCCACAGTTCTGAGGACGGCTTGCAGTTAGCAGCCGAAACATGTCAACAAGGTAAAAAATTCTTGTGGATTATTATAGTCTGACCCAAAGAAAACAAAAAGCATGACTAGAGGAGCTCCTTCAGCAGAAGACTCCTCTCACCCAGATGCACCACAGAGAGCCA